TATAAAAAAATACCCAGTTAAAAGTCTTTGCTCAATCTATTACAATTATAAAAAATACCCAGTTAAATAAAAGCCTTATAGAATCCAATTGTGACTTAATTTTTAGATTTTCATTTACTTTATAATTACGCATTTTGCACCATTCCTCAAACTCTTCGTCGTCATAACCACCATATATAGAATATTTTTTCCACGACACGAATTCTTTAGGATATTCTTCATTATTTGCAGATGCAGAAACAATAACGAGGCCACCGTATTTCAATTCGACCGGTAGGCTTTTCACTAACAAAAACGGGTACTCATTAACGACCCCATATTTATGTAAAGCATTATATTGATCAAAAATCCAAATCCAAAAGTATTTATCTTCGACATGTTTCTGCAATACATTGAAGAACAATCTAAAGCGTTCTTTACTTTATAAAATTTAAGATGTTAGTAAAGAATTTGAAAAATTTTTAAAATGATGTGTTTAAATCACGTACATATTTTCATCATGCATCTTAAGTTGTCGGATCCAAGTCGAATAATTTGCTGATTGGTCCTTTAGCTTTTCATCTAAACTTTCTGTAATACTGTTGGTCACATATTCAATCCAATCAATTAATGTAAACGGGGATAACTCATCATTACTAAACGTCCGTATCAGCTCTTGAAGTAGGTATCGGTATGGTTGAATTGTATGTGATTGATACCATACATCACAACTGTTAATATATGTTACCCTATAGTAATTATCAAATAAGCGAAGTTGTCTGGCAAGATATATATATAAACTATATGACTTTCCCAAACCAGAAGGTCCGGATATGTATAGACCTCGAGAATTATTGTCTTCATTGAGTGAATTCATGGCATTATTGAAAAGATCAATGCAATTTTTTCTACAGATAAAAGGTAACTTTCCTTCTTTAAAATTGAACCGATCTTGAAATTTGTTTTCACTAAAATCTGGTATATTGATCAGCACTGGCTTTTCAAACTTAATAGATTCCTTTACAGTATTGATAAGATTATTGCCAGAAAAAAGTTCTCTGAGTTCGTCATTGTTCTTTTTTGTTTGGCTAATAAGTCCTTCGGTTTTGATAAAGAAAACGCTTTCATATCCTTGCTGATCTAATTGTGGTTCAACCTTTCTTTTTTTAATAGCTGTTGGCTTGAGAGAATTTTTGCCCTTGCCACATCCTTCGACTACGTTTTTTTTTCTATTTGTGGCTTTATAGTAAACTTTGCTACTTGACGAATCACCAATTTCTTCACTGTCAGCTTGTTTCACTGTTCTTTTTGTACCCATATAAAAAACTGATTCGAAGCAGTTACGTATTCCTGTTTTAGTAGAAGTAGAGATTATAGTAGGTGGGTTGATTTAGAGTGTTGGATTGGAGGTTCTAAGAAAGAATGAAATTAACAGAGTAAACATTTTTATAAATAAAATACGGGTATATAATACGTACATACGTATTGTTATATCGATATGAGTGTACTGTATTATTATAATTCATATATGTCACTGAATTTGCGTGTGATGTGGAATGAAGAATTATCGGTCTTATGTAACGGTCTATATGAAAATCATGTGACACATGATTTTCATATAGACCGGTGTGAATTTAGTTATTTTACAAGCAAAAACTGAATTCGGTATTTGCTATAAAACTGTGTATTAATATATGTGTTTGGTATTTTTTTATAATTGGACAAAGGCTTTTATTTAACTGGGTATTTTTTATAATTGTAATAGATTGAGCAAAGACTTTTAACTGGGTATTTTTTTATA